AGCTTTGCAGAATGAGTTTCCAGCTGAATTCTTAATTTGGTCGGACCATCTAGTTGGTGATCGTCCTTTTGGTCTTCTCCGAGGAACGTTTCAAGAAACAATTAATCTCTATAGACTATCATCACCCTTGCGAACCACGTAGCCGAAATATTTCAGAATTCCTTGCAGACATATTGTGGATAGCCTTTTTTTAATCTCGAGTTGGTTTAGAATAGAAACGTTGTCCTATGAGTTATCCAAGTATTCGCAGCACTTCTTCTCCAGTACCACATATCAAAGGCATCAATTTTTTGACACTCCCGTCTGCGAAGAGTCAAAGTCTCTATCCGTAAGAAATATGAATACAAGGACATTCACCAGTCTCATCTTGATATTTTAAGAGATAGGTCTGACTTTCCAAACTTTAGTAAGTGGACTTATCGCATTTTTTGCCATACCAATACGTCTCCGAACTTCTGCTTCACTGTTACCATCGTTACTTATACTAGACCCGAGATAGACGAAAGTGTCACCAGATGCATTGGTGTGCCTATTTCGATTAAAATGGATAACAGATTTATCCCGCTTACACAATCAAATGCCTTTTTGGTAGTCAACGAAGCATATAATTATAGGTACTTGAAATTCTCTAGACTTCTCAATGAGTTGTCTTCTTCTTTTTATAGTGCCGTGCACCTATAGTGCGTTGGCGAATTATCTTAAGGCCAGACGTCTGTTTTTTGCGCCATGCAAAAGATCGCCAGTGTTATTTATGCCTGTCCAGTTTTATGTTCTGTAGCCACGACATTTATTTGCCACCTTCTCCTCTCTTGCATTCAATATTTCCCTGGATGATTAGTTAAGGAATTGCATAATTTTTTTCCTCTCAGATTATGGCCGAGTTATCCAATTTTTGGAAGGAATTTTTATCCTTTGACCAAGGAAGAAAGAGCTAAGAGAGGAGTATCCGTAATTATTAACAAAAAGTTTAAAAGGAAAATTACCAGCTGGACTGCGATAGATGAAAATATCCTGCAAGTAAATATGACCCTACAACCATAAAAAACAACAATACTAGCAATCTATGCCCCCTCAGAGGATGAGAATGTAACCACAAAAGACGAATTCTTTGCAAAATTAAATGTTATTACAATATCAATATCAAAGTTATTACTAGAGTTGGAAATTGCCGAGAAAAATTTTTATTAGTCGATTTTAATGGAAAAACAGGAAATACGCGCCACAACAATGTAATTGGACCTTATGGAGAAGACGTCGTAAATGATAACGGAGAAAGACTTATTAATCTCTGTGAAAGTAATAGACTCAAAATAACTAACGGATATTATTGTCACAAAAACATACACAAATATACATTGTTTCAACCAACAAGGAATCTTAAGTCTCTAATAGATTACGTGATAGTTAAACAAAATTCACAAATACTCATTAGAGATATTAGAGCTAACTATTAGATTAAAGGACAGTGTCTCATCAAGCCAAGACGAACAATTTTTAGAAAGAATTGATCTTCCTCAATACAATCTGTCCAGTTTAATTCATGAGAGTACCCGTACACTATATAAGACTCGAATGGACTCCAAACTTGACGAAACACCAACAAATACCAAATGCATATATGAGAACATAATATCAAGTATTCATCAAACAGCACAGGAGATCTTAGGAATTAAACAAAATAAAATTAGTAACAAGCTTTGGTGGAATGAAGACGTCGAAAATGCGGTAACAGAAAAGAAAAGATTATACCATAAGTGGTTGAATACAAAAGATGACGCAGACAAAGACCGATACAATAGAATGAGGAAGAAAACTAGAAAGATAATTATGACCTCCAAAAATTAGACATGGGACAGAAGGTGCAGAGAGATAGAATCTTATATGACAATGAGGACGACAATGCACTGAGGTGTGGAAGTTTATAAACTCTGTTAAGAAGCCGACTAACGAGAAAGTGATTCTAAATCCCATAATTCCCGAGGATTGGACACATTATTACAAAAATATATTAAATGTGAACAGAGACGAATTTAAAGAAGATATGAATTCATCAAGAATCGAAATTCTGGGAGAGCATATTACCATAGATATCAACACAGTTCAAAAGCTATAGCAGGGATGAAGAATGGGAAAGCAAGTGGACCAGAGGGAGTAACTACGGAATTAATAAAGAATGGCTCAAAGAAATTACACAGAATGATCACGGTGATATTTAACGAATATATTAATGAACATCCAACACCAGATGAATGGAAAAGAGCAGATATGACCCCAATATATAAAAAAGGTGACAGGAGAAATTGTAAAAACTATAAAGGGATATCGGTCATAGTTCAATGAGTCGACTATACAGTCGAATACTACGGGACCTGATAGAGAAAGATTATCAATCGTCTGAAGACGAAGAACAAGGAGGATTTAGAGCAGATCGTTCATGTACAGATAACATCTTCTGTCTTAAACAAATTATAGAAAAGAAAATTGTGACAAATAGAGAGTTACATATGACTTTTGTAGATCTTGAGAAGGCATATGACACAGTCCCGCTAAATAAACTATGGAAGTCCTGGCACATCAAACATACATCAAAATTGGTTAGTGCTTTCAAAGATCTATATTATGGTTCAAAATCCCAAATGAAATTCGGAAACCTATTAGATGAAAAATTTGCAGTTACTAAGGGTCTCAGACAAGGATGTTGTATCTCTCCAACTCTATTTAATATTTATATATCTGCAGTTCTGAAACAATGGAAAAGGAAAGTCAAAGGAATGGGTATACAATTGAACGATCAGATTATATATCTATATATATATATATATATCTATATATATATATATATACTTTACAGTTTGCAGATGATCAGGTGGTGATCTCAAATGACAAAGACGACATGGAATACATGCTTAGAAAACTAATTGAAAAATACCAGAAATGGGGATTAAATATCAATTTAGAAAATACAAAATACCTCTCAATTGGAGATGAAGCAGAACAACTCTATATCGATGACAATCAAAAAATTAATCCATGTGACGAATATAAATACCTGGGCGTCATCTTCGACCGTAGTGGAAAAGACACACGAGAAATAGAACTTCGAATTGTACAAGCACGAAGAGCTATAGCATGTTTGAACGGAGTTCTATGGAGTAAATAAATATCAAAGAAAAGAAAATGGAACATCTATGTTCCATGGAGACATGGAGAATAACCGAGAAATATAAGAAAAAGGTCGAAGCCACGGAAATGGATGCCATCAGAAGATCGATGAGAATATCAAGAGTCGACAGAATACGAAATGAAGTGATAAAACAACAAATGAGTATAGATGGCACTATAGTTGAGGATATTGAGAGAAAACAGCTCATATGGTATGGGCATGTGAGCCGAATGGGGGACGAAAGATTGCCTAAAAAAACGATGATGTGGCAACCCCCAGAGAAGAGGAAGACCACCACAGAGCTGGAACCTGGGAGTTAGGAAAGCGATTAGCGCTCGAAATCTGGACGAAGACCTAACTCAAGACAGAATACAGTGGCGTTTGGGAGTCGGACAACGTCGTAAGACGTTATAAAAACCGAATATATATATATATATATATATATATATATATATATATATATATATATATATATATATATATATAAATATATAATATAATATATAATATATAAATATATATATATATAAAAATATATATAATATATATATATATATATTATATATATATATATATATATATATAATATATATATATATATATATATATTTATATATATATAAACTCGTAACGTCCATGTTTCCAATGCCGTATAAAAATATGGGCCATACATAACATTTAATCATCCTGTAGCGGAGATTGAAGGAAATATTGCGGTTACATAGTAGCGGTTTAAATTTGATAAAAGCTTGTCTTGCTTGTTCGGTACGGCATTTTATTTCTTGTTTAGAATCCCATTGGTCATTCATCATCCTTCCCAAGTATTGAAATGTTTTCACTTGATCGATTGGAGCATTATCTACTTGCAGTTGTATTCTTAAAAGTGCGTTTTTTCTGAAAAGTGTTATTCAGATTCTGAATAACAGCAGACACAACGTTCTTTCATCCAGCTTTCCTTTGCATTTTTAATTCTTGCCCTTATCGTACGTTGGATTTCCTTGTATTCCTGTTAATTCTGATGTATTTTGTACTGTCTACGTTGCTCCATTAGATCAAGTATCTCTCCCGTCATCCACTCGTTTTTGTGATTTCTTTTTCTTTTTCAAGGAAATTGCATAGGTTTCCTCTATGCAATTTCCTTGTATGTTTCTCAAATTCTCGTTGCTGTGCTTATTGTATGTAGATCTAAGCTCTTCATCTCTCATTAATTCTCTAGTGTTTATGTATTTTTCATTAGATGACTTTTTAACCTTTGCCAATCGAAACCTTAGATTTACGACTAGGGGTTGTGGTCATACGAAATGTCCGCACCATGGTAAGCGGCCACTCTTTTTATACAGTTGCGGAATCTTTGGTTTATCAAGATGTAATCAATTTGATTTCATATCATATGACCTGGACGATCTCCTGGTGCTCGCCATGTATACAATCTTCTTGGTGGCAGTTGATACCACGTATTGGAGATGACGAAATCATGATCATTACAAAATTCAATTAGTAACTCTCCTCGCTCATTCTTGTTACCCAGACCGAAATCACCGACCGCATTACCACATCTACCCCTACCGATTTTGGCATTAAAATATATACCCTATATACCGTCAGTGTATACCCTTAGTACATACAATATTTTATACATAAAATACATGCTTTTAAGTAATAAGTACTATTAGATCAGGACGTATCTGTTTTTGAGGTGGATGAGAGAAAAATCATTCGGATTTTTGCAGAAAAAAGTTGTGCGCAAAATTGAGAATGCCACCTCTGATATCCACCTCAAAACAGATCTGCCCTGGTCTAATTGTATAATATATTAACTCTCAGATATATGTTTTAGTGGAATCGACGTATAGGGAACCAATTGAAGGATGGAAAAATAACTTCTATGGAGCGAGTGGTTTTTACTCAGCGCTTTACACCGGTTTTTTACAAGTTAATATTAGTAATCGAGATGTTGTTCTTGACATCATTCCTGTTGACATGGCCATTTCAGCCCTGGTAGCATGCGCTTGGGATGTTTCATTAAAAAATAATAATCGGTAAGTGTTGTAATTTTCTGCGGCATCTGTTAAAAATGTATTTCCACAATTGATTTTATGTTAAACATACAATTTCTCTTGCTTAGAGATTTTAGTTGCTCTAGTGGAAGAAAATATCTACAAACAAGTTTACATCCTAGTCATTTCAGGTTTTTTTCAGGACATCTTCAGACATCCCCGTTTACAACTACGTGTCTGGGCCGGAAAATCCACTTTTATTGGGAGAACTCACTGATATTTTTTTGATTTATGCAAGGAGATATCCATCAGCTCAAACCTTATGGAAGCCGCACATAATATGGGCGAATTATTACAAATTTTCCGTACTGTCGTTCTTTTTACATACCATACCGGCATGCATTTTGGACATTCTTGCTATATGTACCTTCAATAAACCCAGGTAATGTATAGATATTACTATATTGAAGAAGATAAGCGATGAGTTGGTGAAAAAATTTTAACAGTTGCTGAAAAAAAAACTATAAGAAACTAACCCTTTTATTTTCTACATACTAATGAACTGACTTCATGTTCTTTCTTCTCCATATTCTGGAAAGATTAAAATTTGTTGACTCTAGGTGCTACATTTTCATTGTAGAGCCATCGTGAAAAATAGTTTCCGGAATATTTCTCTTAAGAGGATTCACTGGTGTATTGTAATCCTGAAGTAGTCATAAAACTGGGAGCTGACAATTATGATTCTACACGATGGCGGTTATTTATTGATTCTTCTAAGAAAAGTCTGAACAGTGTCTTGTTGCACAATGGTAATATTTATGCTCCGGTACCTGTTGCTCACTTTGTGTGTCTCAAAAAAACGTATGAGAATCTTAAGTTCTCATTTAAGAATAAAGTTTATTGTTGGCAACTCTGTGGAGACCTCAAAGGAATATGCATGCTTTTAGGTTCTTCTTTCTTCTTAGTCGTTAACCTGATGCAGTATCGTGATATCATGAAGCTGTTAGGTAATTTTTCCAATGTTCCTCCACGTTTTTCTATCTTCTGCCAATCTAGCACATTCTGACAATGGAGCGCCAATGGTAGCAACAATATGGTCCGTGTATCGTGTAGGAGATCTACCTCTACTTCTTTTGCCTTCTACTTTTCCCTGGATGGTAAGTTTTTCAAGACCATTTTCTTCGAAGCACATGCTTTTAGGTTAGCAATCTTGATTCACGAAGTATCCATGTTTTTTGTGCAAGTAGAACAATCGAATACGAAATTTACATTAAACTCAGAGAAAGACTTGTACCGAGACAAAAAAAAATGTGCCGTGGGATGCATTAGTTTACCCAAAAATTAGTTCCTTGATCTCCCCTTTACATAAAGTTAGGATTGATGAAGCGGTTTATCAAAGCTTTAAATAAACAAGGTTACTGTTATAAATAACTGTGCGACAAAATGCCTGCACTTTCTGAAGCTAAACTTAAAGAATGAATTTTGTTAGACACTCAATTTTGAACCTTTAAATCGGACAGATTGCTCCAGAATACAATGATCCAGGATGAATCTAAATCATAAAGTTCTTTCATAAAAGTCATAGACAGTCCTTGGAAGCAATAAATCTCCAAACTACAAAAAAATTGTAGTCAACTTGGTCGGAAATTATAAAAAACTGGGAATGCAATATGAGCGTCAAACTTCATTTTCTGGATTCCCAGAATGACTATTTTACTGAAAATCTTGGAGCGCCCAACGAGGAAGAGGAAGAAAGGTTCCATCCAGACATAAAGGAGATGGAGAGCAGTGTTACCAAGGAAGATGGGATATTAGAATAATGTGATATAAGGTTGAATGCTCGAATAAATGAAATTTGAAAAATGAAAGGTAAATATCGAGCACAATTTTAACAATTAAATCTTGCCCAAGTACTTTCGCTTACTACAGCATCATCAGGGGCATTTCGTCAAATTTGGGCTATCCAGCAAGCGTAGAATGTGATAAACATGAATTTTACCATAAAATTCTACAAAACACTACACTAAAACAAGTACAAACAGTTTAAAATTAATTAAAATGGTTCTACGCTCTACATTCTTTGTCAGCAACAAGAGAGATAATCTCTCTTTGTTGCTTGCAAAATGTAGTGTAGAATCTTGCAAAGTGTAGTGTTTTGTTTTAGAATGCTTCGTTGTTACGTGTTCTCTACTCTTCTTTATGGTTTGGAAGCTTGGACACTAAAACAAGTTCATCTGAATAAGTTGGCTGCCTTTGAATTTTGGTGTTACAAAAGAATCCTACGAATATCATGAATTCAAAGAATGTCAAACATGGAAGTAACTAGAAGGATAGGAAATGAGGCGGAAATAATATTAACTATTAAAAGACGAAAACTTGAGTACTTGGGACATGTGATGAGAGGGCAAAAATACGCATTATTAAAACTTATTATGCAGGGCAAAATCCGAGGAAAGCGAAATGTGGAAAGACGAAGAATATCCTGGCTTAAGAACTTAAGGGAATGGTTTGAATGCAGTAGTGCAGAACTTTTTAGAGCGGCAGTCAACAGAGTCCGCATAGCCATGATGATTTCCAACCTTCGATAGAAGATGGAACTTAAAGAAGAAGAAGAAGACGCTTGCTGGATACCCAAATTTGACGAAATGCAACGGCAAATGCAAGGCAACGTATTTATTTAAAATATAAACAACGATTGTGTAACGTAGATTATACTGCATTATTTTATGATTAACTCAATTTTGCAGTGTAATTTATATTACTGTTAAATATAGTTTCAATAAATATTGATACATGACCAGTCACAAGGTATCAAGCATATATACTCTATATTTTAGAATAATGGATGCCTACAAAAAAATTCACTCCAGTATTATAAGTACAGCTCCATTTGCGACGAAGGGTTGGAAGTTCCGAAATGATAACGTGCAGAAAGTTTGGTTGGGTATGGACCACAGAGATAAGGAAACATTTTTCTTTAATATGAGAGACGTCAACTGGACCTGCTTTATTCGATCTTATGTTATGGGTATCAGGAAATACATTCTTAAGGATTCTGATAAGACACTGCAGGCTGCCAAGAGGAAATATAAGTGGTAAGTAGATTTTTGTTAGTAAGTCTGTTAAGTTTAGTTGTCAGGTGAGATGCAGTCACTCAAATCAATAAATAAAGCATATATGAAATGAAGAGGCTAAAAGGATGAAGGCTCCAAAAAACAGTTTTGAGAAATTAGGTTTTTAAGGTTTAAAACTAGATATAAAAATAATCAACAGAGAGGGCACTTCATTTTGATTACTAATTCATGCAGTAACTTACAGGCAACATATAGGTTATATTTTTGGGTTATCAATTTACAAAAATTACTATAAATATACCATCGAGCAAAAAGACAAAAGAGGGAATGTAAAGGTAGTGGTGGCAAAATTATTGTTAGACAGGAAGTGCCATCTTGAGAGGCCAAATTAAACAAAGAAAGAGAGTCTTTCCTTGTTTAAGGAATCAAATTTAGTTGGGTTATATTATTATTTGTCCCAACTGTCACATGAAATCTTATTTATATTGAAGTTTTTTATCAATTGTTTCACATTTTAGACTGTTATACCTAGTTAATATTTTTTAATTAAAGCTTTCTCGTCTAAAACACATTCTGAAAACTATTTTATAGCTACTGGTAATAAGTGTCGGAGAATTTAAATTTGGCGCATTCGCATTTCCGAATATGTTCGCCATCAGATGCCACTTTTTTGGTCTCCTTTTCATAACGATTAGATTCCCTCTTTTGTCTTTTTGCTCGATGAAATATACTGTGATTTGCTTAATGCTGAAAAGGTTGTAAAATCTATAAGGCAAATTGAACAAGATATCTTCAATATATCGACGGTTTTTTTCGGCTGTACCGATGAGACTATCAAGGTTCAGGTGCATGACTCTAATTCAGCTGATATTAAAGTGGGCTTGGAAAGGCTCTCATCAAATATTAACCAAATTTCAAATCAAATCTCTAAACTTCACAATAAAATACCCACTCTACCAGAAAAGACAGAGGTATCTATGAAAAATTCTGTTTGCGTCACCTCGGCCACTCAAACAGATGATACTCAAGAGACCGGAGTAGTTTCTCAACAAAGTTCAAACACTGCAGAAGAGAAGTGGCAATATGTAGTTATTAGCAACCTATCCCCAGAATATACTCCTATTCAAGTGGTCCACTTTATTAAAGAGAAGTTAGGGTTAAAGGAGTTTATTAGATGTTATGCCCTGCTGAAAAGACAAGGTCCTTCTAATGGTTCATCATTCAAAATAGGTATGAAGTCTAAATCCTCCATTAAGTTACTATTTAATAAAGAAATTTGGCCACCTAACGTTCACATTAAATGGTCTATTGAATCTCCAACTTCTGAACCACGGTATTTAGAGTCATCACCAGAATTAAACAACAAATCCATGGAGAATACTAGAAGCCCCGTTAGCCAAGAAAATTCATTAACCATTTTGAATGATAACAAAAATACAGGGGAAAAGATAAATGTAGTCTCAGATAAACATGCAATTGAAATTTGCAAATCAAAACCGCATCCTTATTCTCACATTAATTTTGTTAAAGAAAATATTGCAACGCCTACTGTAAATCTGGACCCTATGACCCCACCGAAGGTTAGATTAACCATGAACACGGACCCTTCCAACAATCGATATCTTCTAGCAAGATTAAGAGAACCAGAGATATTAAAAGCCATCAAACTGCATCTTGCCTTTCTGTACGACCAACCTGCTTCGGTTTGTTATGGGGGTTTTACGAAAACAAGCATCAAACTATTCTTGGCTTCTGAGGGACTTTCCATGACTACAGAAGATCTGCGAAAAATTTATTTGAAATTTCACGATGCCTATGGAATTGGTCCAGCTGAGGTAGACGAAGATCTAGCTGCGTTTAGGTCCTTTATCGCTGCTGAAAGAATTATCCATCTGCAAAGATCAAGGGAATGTCATACAAATTACTTTTCCACCGCTTCTCCAAGACGAAATTTTTAAATGTTTCGACGTGTTCTGAGGGTCTAGAATCCTCAAATTTAACTGCTAGCAACTTTGGCATGGTTCTTATTAATATTCGATCGATTAGAAATAAGACAGACGAATTATTTTTGTTTCTGGAAGAATTAGGGTTTCCCCAGTTAGTTGCAGTGACGGAACACTGGCTTGAAGTTAATGAGCCAATTTTCATTCAAGAATATACCACAATTGCTAGGTATGATCGTCCAAGTTCAGCTCATGGTGGCACTCTGATTCTTTCAAATAACAATGATTTTTCTTCAGTTTCGAAATATGACTATTTGCTGGGTGAAAACTACTTCGAATTTTCTTTGATTTTTAATAAGAAATTTAATCTATACATTATTTGCATTTATAGATCACCTAGCTCTGATACTGAACTATTTTTTCAGAGCCTGCTAAATTTGTTAGATATTCTGCCCATTAAAAGCAAAAAAATTTTATGTGGTGATTTTAATATTGACTACGCTGCTGTTTGTGCGACCCAACTGTCTTTGGTAACTATTTTTGAATCATATGGTCTCACAATGCACGTTAATTCTCCAACAAGAATCTCAAAAACATCATCCTCGACAATTGATTATGTGGTTTCCGATTTTCCACCCGCTGACGTCCATTCTACAGTTATTAGTGGGGGGCTTTCTGATCATGAAACGGTATATACCAAGTTTAGCAGTTTACAAACACCTCACTCAAAAACCCGACGATTAGGTAGGATTTTTTCCACTCAAAACTTTCGTAAATTCTATAATTCATGCTTGACTTCTGACTGGAGTTTTTCTTCTGGAGACATTGACTGTAATGTTAGTGATTTTCTAAATAGACTTGTATCTATTTTTAATAAAGCATTTCCTCTATTAAACATCAGGCCAAAACATAATAAACCTTGGATTACCAAAGGCATTCGCATATCTGCGAAAAATATGCGTTCTCTGCTATATATTAAAAAATTTAATGACAGTATCCCCATCTCTGATTATATCAACAAGTACAGAAAATGCTATATAAAACTACTCAAAGTAGCCAAAAAATCCTACTTTCATAATCGCTTAACAAGCTCCAAAAATATTTCAAAAGAAACTTGTTCAAACTATTCTATTTTCAAATAAACCGTAAAGCGGATCAAACCTTTTCTTTTCCTAACCCCGAAAATCTAAATGATTACTTTGTTAATGTGAGTAAAAATATAACCTCAACTATTTCGCCACATCAAGATCCAGTTTCCTATCTCCTAATTCAAAAAACATTGCTGATACCTTCTTTTTAAGACCAGTTGATAAGACGGAACTCATTTCAACAATTCGTAGTATAAAAAGCACATCGTCCTGTAGTACAGATGGATTATCTATTAAAATTTTCTCAAATCTACCGCATAATGTTTTGGACGTCATGGTCTCGCTAGTAAATGATTCCCTTGTAAAAGGTACATTCCCTAACTGCCTAAAGACTGCCATCGTCATTCCTCTTCATAAAGGTGGAGAAAAATCTGATGCCTGCAACTATAGACCTATTGCCTTGTTACCAGCACTATCAAAAATTATTGAAAGACTTATAAAAGTTCGACTTATGCCCTTTCTCCTTAAATATAATATTTTATCGCAAAATCAGTTCGGCTTTTTGTCTAATAAATGCACTAGTGATGCCATATTTTCTGTGTTACATGATGTATATCTATCACTAAACAGTAACCTCTCCTCCGCCACCGTTTTCTGCGACTATTCCAAAGCCTTTGACTGCGTAAATCACGACATTCTATTAAAAAAATTAACTTTCTACGGAATTCGGGGTGTGTCTTTGAACTGGTTCAAAACTTACTTGGTAGGTAGGAAACAATTGGTTAGAATAAATGACACCGACTCTAGTTGTAAAGATATTGAGTGTGGAGTACCGCAAGGTTCAGTATTAGGTCCCATTCTTTTTTTACTTTTCATTAATGACATCACTTACTTGAAAATTAAAGGGAAAATTTTTCTATTTGCTGATGATACCAGTATTACTTGGAGCAGCTCTGATATTTCAACGCTTCATTCAATTATAACCGATGATTTACTTATAATCAAGGCTTGGTCAGACTCCAACTTACTTAGCTTTAACGTGGATAAGACTGTAGCATTATCTTATAAAGGAGTCATGCAACCCTTGCTTTTGAATGAGAGCCAAATCAATATCGTAAATTCCGTGAAATTTCTAGGTATTCTCATTGACAGTGATCTCAAATGGTCCTTGCATACTGACTCCTTAAGGAAGAAACTAGCCTCAGCTTGCTTTGCAATAAGATCTGTTTCGAAGGAACTAAATTTATCTTCTGCCAAAATGGCATATTTCTCATTGTTCGAGTCCCATCTTCGATATGGGCTTCCATTTTGGGGTTCTAGTACAGCGGCCCAATTTGATACTATTTTTAAGTTGCAAAAAAGAGCAATCCGTTATCTATTTGGTCTCAAACAAACAACTCATTGCAAGACCTACTTCAAAAATCACGGAATTTTGACGCTTCCCTCTTTATTTATTTTGGAAACGGTTTGTTTGATTCGAAAGCATCTAAACATTTTTCCCGATAGACCTGACCATGGCTACTCCATTAGAAATTCGGATTGTAACGTTTATTTGCCGATCCCGTCCACTCAGCTAGTAAAGAATTCTATTCTATATCGTGCAAAGAAACTTTATAATCACCTTCCAAGAGAAATTAAATCCGCAACATCCTTCATTAAGTTTCGTAAGGTGACAAAAATCTATCTCTCAGAAAGACCATATTATTCAGTTGACGAGTTTCTTAATGTATAACAAAGAAACAAAATTAGTATTGTTTATAATTACATTTGGGTGTCTCAAGCAGTGGCTACAATTTGTCTCATTTGTTGTTGTCTGTACAAATTATGTAGGTTATACAATAATTTTACTAATTTAAAATTGTGTTATTCTGTTTTTTACTATATTGTTTTTGTTTTATACTTTTTGTATTATTTGACTGATTTATTTTTTAGCTTTGTCCATAAAATTGTTCAATAATTTTTAGTGACAATAAAGCATATTTCTATTCTATTCTACTAATAGCAGAGACCTCTGTGGTCAGCAGTTTGAACTTTGAGAACTGTCATCCTTTTAGCCTGAACATGTAGCACCTTCATTCTTTTAGCCTAGAAAACATATTTTTCAAAGCTGAATGGCTTGTAGGTTAAACACATTTATCTTTTTTGCTTAGTTAGATACCATATATTTTACATGAGATAAAGTACAAAAAATTAGTTTTATTTCCATAATGACAAATAATAGACCTTCATTCTTTTAGCTTTGAGCTCTTCAAATGTTTCAATATATTTATATTTATTCAAGTTCTCGTAACTTTTTTGCTTCATGACTACCTATTGTATTTTTTATCCATGTAAGCTTACCTGAATTTCTTGCTATTTTATCCCAATTTTTTTTTACTTATTTGGCCTCAAAATCCGAAACGAACTCTTCTTAAGAACACTATGGTTTATCATATCGTAAAACGCTACAGTGTACATTAAAGTATTACTTTAACAACAAAATAATATTGCTTTAGAAGAGCTTTGCCATTACCCATCCAAAATGATAACAAACTCAACTAACAGTCTGACACAGTGGAAAAGAAGTACAAGTGCACTTGTATCTCTTCTCTTCCAAGCCCCTACTCATAGTTGGCTTGAAAGCTAAGTAACTTGTCGCTAGAAAACAGCACCTGTTAGACTTATCGCTTAGATCTCTTTACCTGCAAATAGAATGAAATATCTCCAGTTCTAGGCTAAAGTTAAATAATACAAAAGAATATGACAAAAATTAACTAGATTAGCTATTTAAAAGGTAATTATTTATTTCAGGCTCTCGATTTTTAATACAACTGCAAGATGGCTGATGATAATCTTTATCTACAACATATTTCTGAGGCTGTTTAAAGCTATGATGAATAAGTAACTCATTCTGTATTACTAGGATTTTTATAAATAAAAAAATTGACCATTTTTTACAAATTACTTGTTATAGCCATGTTCGAATTTTTTTATCAGAAATTTTATTAATTCTGCTATTTATGTTATGAAGTACAAAATAAAGGAGACGTCATTATTTATCTTGTGTTTTTTTTAACCCTGAAAAACTTTATCTGTCAATTGAGGAGATGCCAGCATGAAGAGATAAATTGGTATTTTAAAGGCTTTCAAGAATCCTTATTTTGAGAGACGGAATGTAATTATCAGAAAAACGTTACCATTTGTTTAACTACATTAAAAATAATTACATTCTGAGATAAATCCATATTTTGCATTAGATCATTTTTTATCATATTTTTGATAGAAAAATCTTGAACTGTACGAAAATCCTTCATACTCTACTGTTTTCATATATTCCCAAATATTAAAATTTATAGTTGAAAAACATGTTTGTTCAAGGCAAGAAACAATGGCAGCTTTACCCGAAAATTTTGAAGAATTTTAGGAATCTCCAGTTTGAGATGGATACCAATTACTGGAAAACTGTTACACAATGTTTGAACAACATTCAGAATCACTACAGTCAGAAATAAATTTATATTTTTCATAAAAATCTCATTTTTTCAGTAGCAGCCCCCCTCATCAATGTATTAAAGAAAAATGCATAGTAGAATAAAAACTTTAATCCAAATATTTTACAAAAAACATAATTTTGTAAGATCACAAACTTAAATCTAAGCAGTCAGCACACATTTGAATATAAAACATGATTTGGTTTTTTATGCACTTACTTCAAACTTTAGAAAAGAATTTTTGGTATTTTATGCTAAAAGAAGTTTGTTTTCAAACAGTTTTCATTTAATACCATTTAAAAATCTGTCATAAATTTAAGAAACTGATACTTATGTCCCAGTGTGATGACCTATATTGAGACATTTTGATTCATTACTCAATCCTTCGCTTCTTGACGATTGAACCCAACTGAAAGTAGAATAATACAGAATTAGAATTGTTGATACATATAAGTAGTTATCTAATTGTTCAGTTAATGCCATTTTATTAGATATAAACTTACCAAATCTGATATAGCTGGTAAATTATTAGTTTGATCACCAGCTCCTGTATTGGTAGCTTCTGGTGCTGCTGGTTTGGTTCCCTTAATATTTCTGTGTTGTGGGAAGCTCGGCATAAGTTTTGGATCACAAGCTGAAAGATTAATCACCTATAAATATATCTTTCACTTCATATACACCACGAGTGTGTCAAAAAATCCTAGAATTACATAAAAATGGTAAAAATACTCACGTTGTGGTGGCTCTTTGAAATAACTACTTTGCAGACATTCTTCTGCTGTGGCTCTCTTCTTTGGATCATACATGAACAAGAAATTAAGCAAACGAAGACCAGCTGCTGATAACCAAGGAAATCTTTGCTTCAAATTATTGTATGGTTGTTGCTTTAAGGTGTAGTTTTGAAGAGCTGGCAGTTGACTAAATCCTGGCCAAATTGCATCAGATGGAGTACCTATAACAAAAAACAATATGCATCCATTTTTCAACAACATTTTGTTGTTTTATTAACTTACCTAGCAAATCTACAATGAGCTCCAACTGCTGAATCTCTGATCGTCCAGGCAATAGAGGTTTATGCCCTAACAACTCCCCCAATATACAACCAGCTGCCCACATATCCACACTGGTAGTTTGTGTTGGAGCCTGAAGCAATAGTTCTGGTGCTCTGTACCACAGAGTAACAACATGTGGAGTCATTGGCTTTAAAGGCACTCCAAACCATCTTGCAAGACCAAAATCCGCTAAAAAATAAAAGATTACTTTATTTCTTCTTTTTATATTTTATAGGAATGACAAATATTAGCAATTTCTACACAAGCCTTTGTATAAAACAAGCCACTAATGGTGTGTGATTAGTATTTCTGAGTCTAAAATGTTTTAAAGCATAAAATTATTATCATTACCTATTTTAACACAGCCCTTGTCTGTCATAAGCAAATTGGAAACCTTTAAATCTCTATGGACCACAAAATTATGGTGTAAATACTTTAATCCTCGCAATACTTGCAGCATAATACATTTTACTTGAGATTCAGTAAATGGAGTCTGCATATTGTCTAATAAGGAAGCCAAATCTTGCTCACAGTATTCCATAACCAAAAAAATGCTAAAAATATATTATTTTATATAATACTGGTAGTTATTTTACAATGTACAATTCACTGGCTTAATAGAAATAATATTTGAGTTTCAAAAACAGATTTTTGGGAAGTATAAAAAAGCTTTAAAACATTTGTGGAAAAACTGGACAAATATAATGTTCCAGAAAAACATTAGTAATAATTACCAATGAAAACTGCAGTAATTATATGGAAAATGAATGGTGTAACATTATAAAACACTTCAAAATATATCCAGTAAGTCAGGTTTTGAATTAAATATATCTATGACAACCCTTAGATTCCTTTCATTGCAGACTAAACAGGTCTAATTTTAATAGCACAATAAAAGAACGTTAGAAGAGTCCACCAAATCAAGAAACAAAAAAACATATAAGAAAACAATAGCCAAAATGGTTACATTAAAATTATTTAGTTACAATAATTTCGGTCATGTAATGAGACATCCAGAGAGGTATAACCTTCTACACCTCATAATACAGGGTAAGATCGACAGAAGGAGAAGCCCAGGCAGACGAAGAACATCCTGGCTACGAAATCTCCGAGAATGGTATCAAGAAACCACCTTTAATTTATTTAGAGCCGCCTTGAATAAGGTTATTATTGCCAATATGATCGCCAATGCTCGATAATCGGACAGGGCACTGAAAGAAGAAGATAAAAACAATTTTCCAGTTAAAATAGAAATTTCTTGGTTGAAATTTTAAAAATCTAGACCTTTAAGTTTTTCTTACTAAGCCAAGAATATTATTTATACAATGTTCCTGTCTACAAAATTCTCCTGATACACACCTTTCTAAACTGCGTCCAACAACTACTTCCTTAAGATGAACAATATTTTCATGCTGGCAGTTCAACAAGACCTGTATTTCTCTTAAACTACTTATTGGAATACCATCTCTTTCTAGATCCATTCTCACCTTCTTAAGAGCAACAATTTTATCAGAGGTTTGATCCTTGGCTCTATCTAAAATCATAAATGATTGAAGTATTTAATAAGTTACCACAGGGGACTGGGGAGAACAACAACAAATAGTGAATCTATAGAAAATTTATTTACTTACAAACGATTCCGTAAGTTCCTTCCCCGATTCTATTTAATTTATCAAATTCTGAAACGAACCTGCAACGCCCCAACTGAAACAATTATAATTTAAGTAATACAATTAATTTGAAGGTACACCTAATATTACCAAGTCGGCTTCTGGAATATTCATTTGTTTGCCAGTCAGAAACGAGGTAAGAATGCCCTTTTTCGTAATAGGAGCAAAAGGTTCGGCTCCATTTTCCGGCTCCTTGGATTTTTGGGGTGCTGAAAATTTATATTAAATTAAGTAGACGCTTACATTAAAACAAAAACACTTACATTTTCTTAAAACCTCTGTGGCCATATTTACACAGATTACTTCCAAAACTATATAATCTTCATGCAATAAAATCAATGCCTTTCTTTAGTTCCTCTAAAATATATTTTAAGGTTAATAATTAATAATCAAATTTGTTTTTGTCAGCGACCAGCGTACCAACACTACCAACCAGTATATCTTTGGAATCTGGGGACATAGTAGAGGAAGGCAATTTCTCTGTATTTCATCAAATAATCGAATTGTTCTGTTCAGTGACGTCACACGACAAATTTTGGAAATAAATCTTTTTTAATGAGAAATTTTAAAATTTACTCAAACGTATTGATCTAATTTTATACCAGGCTATATAATTTGAACATAAAATAGTAATATGAACGTTATATTCATCTCATACAAAAAATAAATACTGACAACTTTTTTTTATTTATATACAGACAAACATGCTACGGCTTTCATTCTTATGATAGAGATAATATATTTGTTTAAATCAACTTTTATTAAAATTGTGAATAGTATTGTACATTGTGATTATGAATTAAATTTTATGAAAATGTGCCTAACGGCTTTATTGGATTTGACAACGCCGGCGTTTTTGACAGCGCGTAAAAAACTTTTTGACGTTGCGGCTGCATCTTGTGTTTTTGTCCATTTTTAATCGTTTCAGTCACCTTCCCCGGATAAATTGTAGACTTTTTTGCTCATTTATAAACCTAATCATTTAATGAAATTGTAAGTAGCTTCATTTTGATTTTGCGTAAACTATATTTATTCAGTTTTAGTTTAAGATGGAGATCAAAAGTGACTTGGATTTGAGTGGTAAATTAATAATTAAGGTACAACTAGGAGATGATATTAGACGAATTCCAATTCACAACGAATCTTTAACTTACGATGAACTGGTTTTAATGATGCAGAGGGTGTTTAGAGGCAAATTATCAGCGAATGATGACATCACAATTAAATACAAAGATGAAGGTACTTATGCAAATATAATATTGGATTAATGTACATTCTTTGTTTGTCAGAAGCTTCTGACGAATTGTGTTAATTGTTAATTTCTATTCCAGATGTTGTTTTTGTTATGATATGTGATAGTATTTCGTACTTATTAAACAAATTGGCATTTAGTACAATGGATGCCAGATTTTTTTAATGAATTTACAGTTATATTTTATTAACCTATCAGCTATCTTATTTTGTTTAACTTGTTTTATTACTAACTGGTATTTCATGCCACTAATTATGAAATAAAATGTTTAAATATGTATAAAATTTATAATTCATGAAGATATTACAGTCCTATAGAAAAAAAAATAGTCAGTATGTGGTTAGTTTTCAATATTTTCTTAATTATAGATTAGTTTGAACAGATAAATAAATTTGCTTTGCAGATATCAGTAGTTTAATCAGCAGTTATTTGTTTTATCAGCTTCCTTTGTGGAACCTTTAATCAGAATGAATTGTTATAAAGAAACAAAAGTTTTTTTTGAGAATTACTTATTGACTTTTTCATATTGTAAATCTATTATTAAAACATGTTCACATTCCACAACATAAGATTATGTAGGATTTTTGATTATATATGTAATAAAAAAGATTTTTTTACTGAAACATATAGGTCAGATGTTCAGTCAAGTCTTAAAAACTAATTTTACTGGTAAAGGAGGTTAAAGGTTAAAAACTGTGTACACAGTTAAGTAGTTAAATATTTTTATGTCCCATTTTGTCAATAATGTTGTAATGTGAGTGGACTCGCAATATAATCTGATTAAGAGCAGTTTGTGATTTTATATCGTATGTTCATCTATAGATGTGGTAATTAATAATCACAGTAGGAAAGGAAAAGATGTATTATTGAAATAAATGATGAACTAACCACAATCTTTCTAGAAAGCTGGATGTGATAGCTTCTAGCAAGATCAAAATTCAGAATGAGTTTCAAATAATAGAAGTAATCGACTTTAAAAAGACTTGGATTATTCAACAAATCAACAACTGTTTTGCAAATGATCAAAAACTGCATAATTAGGGATTAAATAAGGATATTTTACTAGCACTCTCAGAGGAAAATATGAAATTCTAAGAGACATTAATCAGAAATGTATTGAACAGCGATGAAAGAAACCTTATAAAATGTCCTGTTATGAGTTAATAGGGTTTTTCAAGGACATCTTAAAGTAGCAAGGTAGTTATTTGTAGAAATAAAGAAATTATTCACAAAGCAGGACATTTTTAGAAATTTGTTGGTAGAATCAAAATGTTTTCTTTTTGTCAGTAAGATGTCAAAATGTTTTCTATTTTATCAGTTGTACACACAGGTGTTTTGTTTGATTAAATAAATTAAACATTTTAGTCACAAATGACTAAGAAACAATTGTACAGCAAGTTACAAAAAGCTTTAAATGACAGAAATGTAAAGTATTTGAATGATACTATAAGACAAATGTGAAATAGTGAGCCACATTATTCAAAAAATTAATTTTAAAAAGGAACATAATATATTCAAATATATAGATGGCTGAGAAAGTGAGTATATTGAGTGATTTGAATTGGCCTCTACAGGATTCTCCCGCCTTTAGTACTAAGATCACCTGCACTGCCTTTTTTCGGACCATAATGACAGTTGAGCTATCTACTGCAGCACCCCAGAAGATTATTCCATATAGCATAACAGAATAAAACTTTGCATAATATACTGTGAGGAAAATCCGCTGGTCTAGATAGCTCTTTAACACTCTTAATGAGTAGCAGGCTCTATTCAGTTTTTTTTGTTGTATTTTGTTTTTTTTTTTTTCACAATTCATATTCTGGTCAATATGAAGACCAAGAAATTTAACTGATCTAGCAGGTTCTTTGTTTTGTGATAGAAAATTGATTGTATCTGGAAACTGTTTTCGTGACTGGCTGGTTCTAAAGTAAACAAAAACTGTCTTATAACTATTAAGCAACAACTGATTTTCACTGAACCACTTTTCAGTCTTGCATAGAATTTGCTCTGCAACTGTGAGGAGTGTTTCTGTTTTTTTCCCAGAAAAGCACATTTCGAGTCATCAGTGAAATTTACAAGGTTTGAAAAACTACTAACTACTACATTTGGAAGTTAGTTTATGTAGATTAAAAAGAGGAAAAGTTCTCAAGACACTTCCCTGTGGTATGCCTAATTTTAAAATGATCGGTTCAGAGTAAACCTTACATCCCCTATTCTTCAGGCATACCTTTTGCGACATATCTGTGAGAAATGATTTTATCTATTTTAATGCTGGTCCCTGTATTCCATAAAGATGTAATTTTTCTAATAAAAGAACATGATCTAGGCTATCGAAAGCCTTAGATAGGTCCAAAAAAGCACCCAGTGTTTTCATCTTTGCCTCTAGTTTTTCTAAAAATTTTGATATAAAATCATAGAGCTGTCTCAACAGATGTGAGAAAACCCAACATCACCTTTTTTGTTTAGTGTCTTGACAATTGCTTTAAATTTTGAGGAAATTTACCTTGCCTGAAAGAAGCATTAACTATAAAGGAAAGAGGAAGAGAAATCTCTGATGAAACATATTTAGTTAAGTTGGTTGATATTTCATCATAACCAGAGTTTTGCTTGTTTTTTAAGTTATCTGTTATGTCTGTGACTCTTTTTTTTTCTCTTAAACGGGAGTTAAAAACATGCAATGATTATTCTTTTCAATGTTAATTTGAAAATTTTCTACAAGCTTTATTTTCTTTACAGTTTCTGGCGCTCCATTTGCCATAAATTGATTTATTTAGTTAGAAAGCACCTGAGGATCACCCTACAAACAGAAATTACCTTGATTTTTGAAATTACCCTTAAGCTCTTTTACCAATTGCCAAATCATTTTAGTTTTACTTTCGCTATTTTCAAAGTGTTCTTTATAACAATTTTTTCGAGATTGAGTGAGTAAAGAATTGTATTTGCATTTTTCTGTCCTGTAAATATCTTTATAATCAACATTATTGGTAGACAGTGTAAACAAAACATCAAGCCTAGATTTACAATGTTTTATATCATCATTTTTAAAGTCCTTTATTATATACCTCTAATGTCTCAAAAACAGATACCCAGTCTACATTACCTAACATGAATTTAAAAAAAATGTTTATTCTCCTTACTAAATATTTGTTTTTTATTATATTTTACTCAATATATTTAATTCAAATTTTGCTTTTTAAGCAGTATGATCAGAGATGTATGAGGATTGAATACGAGAGAATCAAATATGTCAAAAATTTTAAAAATATATTGATTACAAAGGCTAAACAAATTTTAAATTACGAATGAAAACGAGATTAGTGATAACATCACACAGAAATGCAAAATACTGGCAGGAATCATATAAATTTGACTTAATAGGTCTTTTCATGCCATCAATCAATGAAATTTGAGTAGATATAAACAATTTACCATAAATGTTGCATTCATTGGTGCTGAATTCACTGAAAACTTTTGGTTGTGTTTTTTAGACTTATTAAATACTATTTTCAACAAATTCTGTATATCATATCATAGATTATGATTTTGACCATAAATCAATTATGTGTCTCTTTTTTGTTATATTGTAGTGTTAGAAATTTATAATGTGAATCCAATTCTATTTAGTGCTTCATTAATTTCGTTGTTAGAAAGGATATGTACTTTCAATTGATTTTATTGAATGCAAATTGCTTTGTAAGATACATCTTACCAGTTTTTCTTAGATAATCAGTGAAAAATTTTCAATAACTAGAAGATATCTAGGTACAGCTTGACAAGTGTATATGGTTTTATCCCATGGTCACCATTTTCCATGTTTTGTATCATACATCACCGCCTTTTATTTATCTTGGACAATTCTTTTATTATATACTTTGAGACTATTCTATCTTTCGTTTATCCAGGAAAATCTATTGTAATATCCTTTAAGGGTTGACATTCTTTCTGTTATTACTCTTAGAAAATCCATTCATATATCCTTTGAGAATATGCTGTCTTCTGTTTCTCCAGGAAAATACATTCTAACATTCTTTGAGGGCATCCTTTCTTTCATTTTTCCGAGAAAATCCACTCATATATCATTTGAAAGTATGCTATCTTCCGTTTCTCCAAGAGAATCTATTCTAATATCCATTGAAGACATCTTCTCTTCTATTTTCCTGTTAGAATCCATTCCAATAT